GCAGCGGCTGCTGCAGCACTTGTGCGTGCCCGGGCAGTGCCGGTCGTCGGCACAGGCGGGCGGGCAGGCGGACGCCGCCACGTCGCTCAGGGGGCAGATCCCGGGTTTCTCTGGGAGCAGCGGGCGGGAGGTGCTGGCACCAGGTCCTGCTGGGGCCCACAGCTCCCGGCACCGCTCGCCCGGTCCCCACCTCGTGCTGGGGGCAGGCACACGGCGTCGCAGCCGCGCCGGCAGCACTTCTGCTCCGCAGGGCAGTCGCCATCACCGTGGCACCGGGCCTGGCACTCGTAGCTGGCGTAGAGCCCGGGGCTGACCGGGCAGAATCCCGGTTTCCCTGCGGCCATGGGCACRTCTGCCTGGCCGGCGCGGTCCCCCGGGCCCGGCGGGGCGCAGGTGCGGGCGCAGCGGCCGCCACAGCAGCTGTCCCCTCCGGGGCAGTCCCCATCGCTCCGGCACCACGTGTCCCCGGGCCGGGCCGGCGCCGCCGCGGGGGGCCCTGTGCGTGAGCCGCAGMGGGTGAGCGGGAGCGGGGCCCCGCACAGGCCCCAGTCCGCGCCGCGGGCAGCGGGTACCTGCGGCACCGGCGTGGCACTGCGTGCTGCAGCGGTGCCCACAGCACAACTCCCCRCGGGGACAGTCCCGGTCGTGGTGGCATCGGCGCTGGTGGCGCGGTGCTGGTGTGGGCACCGGGGCGGCTYCCTCTGTGTGACACAGTGGGTCGGCACCGCAGCACCACTCCCTGGGCCCGCTGTGCCCATGCTGTGCCAGCCCCTCACCTTTGTGGTGTGTGTGGCACTGGGCGCTGCAGCGGTGCCTGCAGCACGCCTTGCCATGCGGACAATCCCGGTCGTGGTGGCATCGCCGATGGTGCCGTGGCTGCTGGTGCCGAAGCTCCTGGCTCTGGTGCTCCTTGTGCCGTGGCTCATGGTGTCGTGGCTCATGATGTCCTGGATCATGGTGCCGTGGCTCATGGTGCCGTGTTTCATGGTTCTGTGGGTGACGGTGCTGCAGCTCATGGTGCCGTGGATCATGGTGCCGTGTTTCATGGTGCTGTGGCTCATGGTGCCGCGGCTCCTGGTGCTGAGTGTCCTGGCTCTGATCCTCCTCATGCCACGGCTCATGCTGCCGCGGGTGATGGTGCCGTGGATCATGGTGTTGCAGCTCATGGTTCTGTGGGTGATGGTGATGCAGCTCATGGTGCCGCGGCGCCTTGCTCTGATGCCCATGGTGCCGCGGCTCCTTGTGCTGCAGCTCCTGGCTCTGGAGCTCCTGGTGTTGCGGTTCCTGGTGTGGCAGCTCCTGCGTCTTGGGCTGCTGATGCTGCAGCTCCTCATCCTGCGATTCCTGGTGCGACAGCTCCTGGTCCTGCGGCGGCTTCTCCTGCGGCTCCTCTTCCTCCTCTTCCTGTGGTTCCTGGTCCTGTGGCCCCTTGTCCTGCGGTGGCTTCTCCTGCGGCTCCCAGTGCTGCGGCTCCTGTTCCAGCGGCTCCTGTTCCAGCGGCTCCCAGTGCCGCGGCTCCTGTTCCAGTGGCTCCCAGTGCTGCGGCTCCTGTTCCAGTGGCTCCCAGTGCTGCGGCTCCTGTTCCAGCGGCTCCCGGTGCCGTGGCGCCTGTTCCAGTGGCTCCCAGTGCTGCGGCTCCTGTTCCAGTGGCTCCCAGTGCTGCGGCTCCGCGCTGGCCGGGGCTGAGGTGGCTCCCTCCAGTGTGGGGAGTGGGACGGGGGGTGCTGTGGGGGGGTGGGATCTGGCGGGGTGGCCTTGCCAGGGGGTCCTCACCGCCCCCTCCCCACACCAGAGCCGCTCTGCAGCTCCCCAGCCCGACCTGGGGGTGCCACGTGCCCAGCAGCCCTGAGCTCATGTGCAGGCTGTGCCCATGTCTGTGCAGTGCCCATGTGCCCACAGCCCAGCACATGTGTCTGTGCAGTGCCCATGTCTGCACAGTGCCCGTGCCTGTGCAGTGCCCCTGTCCCCACAGCCCTGCTCACATCCCAGCCTGCAGCCTGGCGCTGCTGGTGGCACGGAGCCGTGTTGCTGCCCGCTCACCGGCCGTGGCCGCGCGCTGGCACTGGGTGACACAGCTGCCGTCACAGCAGGTCTGTGTGCTGGGGCAGTCGCCGTCATCGCTGCACTCCCCGTGTTCTCCTGCGGAGCAGAGCCGCTGCAAGGCTTGTGGATCCCTGCTGTGCCGCACCGTGCCGTGCTGCACCGCGCTGCTCTGTGCTGCTCTGTGCAATGCCAAGCTGCACCATGCCACACCGCACTGCTCTGTGCAATGCCATGCTGCACCATGCTGCACCGTGCTGCTCTGTGCAATGCCATGCTGCACTGTGCTGCTCTGTGCTGCTCTGTGCAATGCTGTGCTGCACCATGCTGCACCGTGCTGCTCTGTGCAATGCCATGCTGCTCTGTGCTGCTCTGTGCTGCTCTGTGCCGCACTGTGCTGCACCGCGTCGCACCGCGGCAGCCCGGCTGCACCCGCCACCTCCCTGCTCCGGCAGCGCCTGCTTCGTGTGGGTGCCGCGGGCCCGGCAGCCCCGCGAGGACGGGGCCGGGCACGGGCAGCCCCTCACCGTGGCTGCCGCAGGCTTGCAGGCAGGTGTCGTGGCTCTCGAAGCCGTTGGTGCCGTGGGCGCAAGCGCCGCGGGGCAGGGCCTGGCATTGCCGCGCCGTGCCGTTGTAGAAGAAGCGCCGTGGGGCACGGGCGCAGGGCCCCGGCAGCGTGGGCAGCATGCAGGCGCTGCGGGCGCCCGCCGCGGCCAGGGGCTGCAGGCAGGCCGGGCCGCAGGGCAGCGCGCAGCACTTCTTGCGGCCCAGGCAGTCGCCGTCCTCCAGGCACTGGAAGGAGCAGGGGTAGAAGAGCCCCTCGGGGGCGGCCGCCGGGCAGGCGCCCGGCTTCTCTGCGTGCCCGCAGCCGGGCAGGGCGGCGCGTGAGCGGCAGCCCCGGCTCCGCTGCAGCGCGCGGGCTCTGTGCGGCCGCACGGGAACCACGCAGCCGGGACCGCTCCTGCACCGGGGCCGCCGGCCGAGCGCGACGGAGCTGCCGTGCGGTGGGCGCCGGGGACTGCCGCGATGGGGACAGTGTGGTGATAGGGATGGTGCCATGGTGGGGACCGTGCAGTGACGGGGACTGTGTGGCAATGGGGACAGTGCCATAGTGGGGACTGTGTGGCAATGGGGACAGTGCCATGAGGGGGTCTGTGCTGTGATGGGGACAGTGCCACAATGAGGACTGTGCCACGATGGGGACAGTGCTGATTAGGGAACTGCATTGTGATGGGAATCATAGCACGTTGTGGATCATTCCACATGGGAAATGCGCTGAGATGGGGACGGTGCCTCAATAGGACCAGGCTGTGGTGGGGAGCAGGCCACAGTGGGGTTGTGCTGTGACGGGCACCGGGGACCGCGCTGCGATGGGGGCCGCACCGCAATGGGGCCGCACCGCAATGGGGCCGCGCCGCAGCGGGGTCCGTGCCACAGCGGGTCTGTGCCACAGCGGGGTCTGTGCCACAATGGGGCTGCGCCGCAATGGGGCCGCGCCACAGCGGGGTCTGTGCCACAATGGGGCCGCGCCGCAGCGGGGTCTGTGCCGGAGTGGGGTCCGCGCCGCGGCCGCCTGGGCATGGCGGTACCTCTGGCCGGCGGCGTGCAGCGCAGCCGGCAGTCCCGCTGGCAGCACTTGTGCTGGCCGGGGCAGCTGGAGTCGTTGGCGCAGAGCGGGGGCTCTGGGCGCAGGCAGCGGGTGAAGTCCCGCGGGCAGGAGCCCGGCTTCCAGGGCTGCCCTGCGCGCGGGCACCGGGCGCTGAGGGGCCTCCTCCTCACGCACCCCTTCTGATCCGTGCACCCCTCTCCATTGCCTGCACCCCTCCCCAATGCACACACCCCTCCCCACTGCCTGTATCCATCCCCATTACAAACACCCCTCCCYGTTGCCCGCACCCTTCCCCAGCGCTTCCCCCTCCTGTCTGTGCGCCCACCCTGCCCCTGGCGCAGCCCCTGGCAGCCCCCAGGCTCTGCCCCTCGCTGCAGCACAGCCAGCACGCGCTGCACGTGGGGCCGGTGCCACGCGCCAGCGCCGGGACGGACAGCGAGATGCTCCGGGACCGGGTGAGGGCCGGGGTCAGGCTGACCCGGCCGCAGCGGTTGCCACAGTGCCGGGGGCCGGAGCCCCGGCGGAGCTGCAAGTGGCTGCAGGGGTTTCRGCGTCGCTGCGGAGCGCAGCGCAACGCGGCAGCACTGATGGGGCAGCCCCGCCGCAGCCGGCACAGGGTGCCCGGGCCCGGCCGGCACCGGTACCGTGTTTAGGTGCAAACAGAGGAGCTGCCGGGAAGCTCCCACTGCCAACAGCAGCTGCGGCGTGAAACAAAGACCCGAAACCTCCCGCCCGGAATGGGCACAGCCCGGCCCGCAGCTGCGCGCCCACGCACCAGGGACAYGCTGACACACGGACACACAGCGGCAACACACAGCCGCATGGACATGCACACGGACAAGCAGACACGCAGCACATGGACATGCACACACGCRGACACACGGACACGCAGGCTCAGGAACATGTACACGAGGACACGCAGACGCGGGGACACACAGACGTGGAGACACGCAGGCATGGGGACACACAGACATGGGGACACGCACATGTGGGGACACGCAGACGTGGGGACACACAGATGTGGGGACACACAGACATGGGCACACGCAGACATGGGGACACGCAGACATGGGGACACGCAGCCGCAGGGCGCCGGGCGGTGCCAGGGGGTCTGCCGCAAGGCGCTGCCTGTCCCCGGTGTTACTCACTGTCCTGCTCCGCGGTGAGGCTGAGCTGGGCGCTGAGGACGAGCAGCCCCAGCAGGAAGAGCCCCCCCGGCCCCGCCATGGCGCTGCACCCCGCTCCGCGCCGGCGCTGCCTTTAAAGCCCTGGCCAGGGCTGCTGGGGCCGGTCCCCGGCTACGGGGCCAGGGCAGTTCCCAGAACCGCGGGCACCCGGCCACTCATCCTGCTTATCGCTGCCGTCGCAAGTTGGGTCAGGGTGACCAGCGGGACCGGGGCGCGGAGGCGGGACAGGGACCGGGGATGGGGACAGGCTCTCCCCGGCTGCAAGTTCCAGCTGCCGCAGCGGGACGCAGTTCCCAAAGAATTTTCACYGCTTGGGAAGGGACAGCCCTCCTGGTGCCAGGAATCCCAGGGAACCGGTTCCTGGTTTTCCCGCCCCCGACTCCAGCCCCATGCACACAGACACGGRGCCAGGCCAGGCGGGAGCCGCTTTATTGGGGTGCAGCAGCCCCGGGCAGGGCACAGGGAGGAGCGAGGAGCCCATGGGTGCTGCTGGTGCCCGGGATGTGGGTGTGGAGCAGCAGGGAGGCGGCAGTGGGAGCAGAGCTCGGGCTTAGGCTGAGCCTGGGGAGGAGGCGGCGCGGGCGGCGGGGCCGGGCGCGGGGGCCGCCCCGCGCAGCGCGGGGGCGCAGGCCCGGCCGCAGGGCAGCAGGCAGCACTTGTGCATCGGGGGGCACTCCCGGTCCTGCAGGCAGAACGTGCGGCACCCGGCGGCGCCGGCGCCCACGGGGCAGCGCCCGGGCCGCGCTGGGCACATGCAGAGAGAGGGACGGCGGGTTGGGGCCGGGCACACGGCACCCCGAGCGGGCCGGGGTGCCCGGCGGGGCCGGGATGGGGGATAGGGATGAGGCTGGGGCCGCGCGCTGCGTTACCCTCCACAGGCAKCTTGCAGGTGCGGCCGCAGCCGGTGCTGCAGCACTTGGCGGGCCCGGCGCAGTCGCCGTCGGTGCGGCACAGCTCCGCGCAGGGTCCCAGCGAGCCGCGCAGCACCGCGGGGCAAGTGCCCACCTTGGCTGCAACGCGGCCACGTCAGGGCCGGCGGCCGGTGCCCGGGGCCGCCAGCGCCCGTTCCCCGCACCAGCACCACGCGGTACCTGCCTGGGGGGCGGCGCACGCCAGCCCGCAGCCCGTGAAGCAGCACTTGAGCGCACCAGGGCAGCCGCGGTCGTCGGCGCAGCGGTTGGGGCAGGCGGCGCCGCTCCGCAGGGCTCGCAGCCGCGGGCACAGCCCAGGCTTGGCTGCGGCACAAGGAGCTCGGGGCACGGCGGGTGCCACGGGACACCCCGCGCGAGCCGCTCGCTGCCGYGGCACCTACCTGGCTGGGCGGCCACGCAGCGGGCGCAGCAGCCGAGGCTGCAGCACTTGTGCCCAGGGCTGCAGGCACTGTCGTTGTGGCAGCCTGACCCGCAGGACTCGGCGCCGGTGCCACCCAGCATGGGGCAGTAGCCCGGGCTCACTGCAAGGGGGATGTGCGCTGCACCATGACTGCACCACGGCCCCGCAGGACTGCGCTCGCCGCGGCACCAACAGCTGCTACCGCGGGGCTGCAGACCTGGCCCCGTGCATGGCGCACGGTGCATGGTGCATGGAGCTCAGCATGCAGTGCATGGTGATGGTGCACAGCGCGGCGCACGGTGCATGGGGCATGGTGCATGGAGCACAGCACGGCGCATGGTGCACGGTGCATGGTCATGGTGYCTGGCACAGAGCACACAGCACCGGGCGCAGGGCATGCGCTGCGCTCGGGTACCTGCGGCGGGGAGGAGGCAGCTCCTGCTCTGGCTGGAGTCGCAGCACTTCTCGGCACCAGGGCAGCTCTGGTCGGAGAGGCAGTAGATGCGGGAGGGCCGCGGGAGCCCCCTGCTCCCCGCCGGGCACTCCCCTGCTTTGCCGGGCGCGGGGGGCCAGCGCCCGCGCAGGGGCCAGCGCAGCGGCGGCGGTGGCAGCGGGGTGGCCGTGGGGGCCGCGTCCCAGCCCCTGGAGCCCAGCGGCAGGGCCAGGAGCAGCAGGAGCAGCGCGTGCTCGGCGGGCATGGTGCTGCTGCAGGTGCGGGGGCGCCGTGCCGCGCGATGTGACGCTGTGCCGCGCCGYGCCGTGCTGTGCCACGCAATGCCGTGMTGTGCCGTGCTGTGCTGTGCCGCACTGTGCCRYGCCASCGGCATATAAACCCTGCTGGGGCGGGGGGGACGCTGCGCCGGCCTGTTCCCATGGGACGTGGCCATGCCCGGCACCGTGGGAGCGCCAGCACGAACAATCCCGCRGGAGGCTCCGCGCTGGGCACCGGGCCGCCCCGATGCCTCCTCCGCAGCGCTGCCCTTTCCAGGTGACTGGTGGCCCGYGGGGCCGGCAGCTCCGGGCACAGCCCGGCCCGGCTCTCTGTGCCGCGTGGATGCAGCACGGGCAGGGAGCTGCAGGGAGCTGCAAGGGGCTGCAAGGGACTGCAGGAAGCTGCAGGGAGCTGCAGGGGGCTGTAGGGAGCTGCAAGGAGCCGCAAGGGGCTGTAGGGAGCTGCAAGGAGCCGCAAGGAGCTCCAGCGGCCCCATCCCCATCCACTGGTGGGGGAGCAGCAGCAGCTGGCTCCTCTGGCCACACAGAGCAGGAAGATGCGCTGGGACCCACGGAGTCCGGGGCAATGGGAGCCCTGCTCTGTCCCCAGCAGGTTCAGGCACCATCCCAGCGGGATGCATCTCCAGGGGAGCACGAGAGCAGGAGTGGGGATGAGGCCAGAGAGAGCGGTTGATGCATGGAGGATTTGGGGCAGGCTGGGCCCTGCGGGATGCCCAGGGCATGGATGGGATGTTCCAGGAGCCCCGGAGTGGCACTGGGTCCTGGGCAGCGCGGCTGGGCTCTGCAGGGATCCCACTGTGGTGCTGGGGACACCCTGGGGCTGCCCACGACGTGGGGCCGTTGCAGCCGCAGCCCTGTCCCCGGCTGCGCCCGGGCGCTGCGAGCAGCTCTGCTGCCGGCCCCAGCGCTGCCGCGAGTGGCCGGGACGCGGGGCCGGGCTCTGCGCCGGGCTCTGCGCCTTCCTCCGCCCGGGCCTCGCAGCCGCCCGGCGAGGGGCACGGGGAGGGCAGGGCCGGCGYGGCGAGGGACACGCGGTCACCAGCGCTGCAGGAGAGGCGGCTTTATTGGTGCGGCGGCTCCGTGGGCTCCGGAGGGCGGCGGCGGCTCCCTTGGCACCGGCGGTGCCTGCGGAGGGAGGAGAGCGCGGCAGGGCCGTGAGCGGGACGGGCACGGGGACAGGGACAGGGACGGGGACAGGGAGAGGGTGGGGACAGGGATGGGGATAGGGACAGAGATGGGGACAGGGAGRGGACAGGGACGGGGATGAAGATGGGGACAGGGATGGGGATAGGGACGGGGACGAGGATGAGGATGGGGACAGGGATGGGGGTGGAGATGGGAACACAGAGGGGAAGGGATGGGAATGGAGATGAGGGTGAGGACAGGACTGGGGACAGGGATGGGGACGGGGACGGGGATGGGGACAGGGATGGGGACAGGGATGGGAACGGCAATGGGGATGAGGACGGGGATGGGGATGGGGACGGGGATGGGAACAGTGATGGGGATGAGGACGCTGATGGGGTGGCTGGCGCCCCACTGACCTCAGTGCAGCGGAGTGACGCAGGAGACGTGGCCGCAGCCATTGCGGCAGCACTTGAGCGCCCCGGAGCAGTTGGAGTCCATGGTGCACTGGTCCTGGCACAAGCCCAGCATGGGGATGCCCGGCTTCATGGGCGGGCAGGTGCCCGGCTTGTCTGCAGGGCGGAGGAGGCGGCGTGAGCCCCACAGCCACCCCAGCCCCAGCTCCATCCCTGCTGCCCGGCCGCACCGAGGCCGCCGCTCCCACATCCCGACTCGTCCCAGCACCGCGCGGGCGCCCGCCGCTCCCAGCTCATCCCGCCCGGGCACCGGCTGTTCTCCCAGCCRGGATGCAGTGCGGGATGCAGCGTGGGATGCAGCGCGGGAGGGCAGCGTGGGAGGCAGGATGCTCTCATGTGCGGTGCGGGATGCAACACAGGAGGCAGTGTGGGATGCAGCATGGGATGCAGCGCGGGGACAGTGTGGGAAACAGGATGCTCTCGCATGCAGCGCGGGATGCAGCGCAGGATGCAGGGCAGGGTGCAGGATGCTTGAGCATGCAGTGTGGGATGCAGCGCAGGATGCAGGATGCTCTCGCATGCAGTGTGGGATGCAGCGTGGGATGCAGGGCAGGATGCAGCACAGGATGCAGGATGCTCGCGCATGCAGCGGGCGCACGGCGGGTGCGCCGGGTCCTGCGGGCCGGGCCGAGCGCGTCCCCCCGTTACCGTTGGGGTTCTGGCAGGCCCTGCCGCAGGCGGCCGGGCAGCACTTGCGGCTGCTCTCGCAGTCGCTGTCGGACTGGCAGCTCAGGGTGCAGTTGGCCTCCGCCGCGGCTGCGTCCGGGCACACACCGGCCTTTGCTGAAAGGCAAAGGGGAGCGCTGGGCGACGGGGGCACCTCCCTGTGCTGGGCTGGACACGGGGCACTGCGGAGCCCCGGGATGGACATGGGGACCCTGCAGAGCCCCTGGGTTGGACATGGGGACCCTGCAGAGCTGCAGAGCTCCCAGGCCCGACAGACGATGGAGGCGGCGCTTCCTGCAGCCCCAGGGCTGGGTGCAGACGTGCTGGGCAGTCCCCGGGTGCCGTCAGGGGCTCCCAGGGCCCCGCTGCAGCCCTGGCCAGGCTGAACGACCCTGCTGAACCGGGGTGATCCCTGCGGCTGCGGATGCTGCAGGGCTCTGTGCTGGCGCGCAGGGATGCTGAGGGCTCTAGAGCTGCACGTGGAGATGCTGCCCGGTCCTGGTCCCAGTCCCAGCCCATGGCCCGGGGCGCTGGCTTGCACATGAGGGCTCCCGGGCTGCAGCCCTGGGCAGGCTGTGCTGTGCGGGCGCGTGGGCGACGCTTCCCGCAGCGCCTGGCTCGAGCGCAGGGATGCTGCGGAGCCCCAGGGCGCTGGAGCCGGGCGGGGGGCCTGGGGCGCCGATGCCCCCGGGGTGTCGGCCTCGCCGCGGCCCCTCGCGCAGCCGGGAGGCCCCGGTTCGTACTCACTGGTGTCATTCTGGGCAGATGCTGGCGGCAGGCGGGCGCGGAGCGCCAGGAGCGCCAGGAGCAGCAGCGGGGCGCGGGCCGCGAGCATGGTGCCGTGAGGGCCGGACGCCCCGGGCCGCCTTTAAGCTGGTCGCCAGGAGGGGCCGGGGCGGGCGGAGGGCTCTGCCTTCCGGGTGCTCGGAGGAACTGCCGGCCTGGCCCCCCCGCCGTTGCACAACCCGAGTGTCAGGTATCTGCCGGCTCCTGGCTGCCAACCAGGGAGGGGGAGCCTCGGCGCGGCCCGGCTCCGCGGAACCTGCCCGGCAGGAACGGCAGCCAAGGCTGCTGCGGCGCGGGGCTGCTGCGCCGGCCCACGGCACCGCGGCCACGCGGCCCCCACGGCCCCACGGCCACATGGCCCCCACGGACACGCAGCCCTGCAGCCCCACGGCCACACAGCCCCGATGGCCACATAGCCCCCATCGCCATGCAGCCCCACA